GTAGATTGTTGCCTCATTATCTAGAGTCAAGAGTAGATAATAACACAGTTTCAGATAATAAAAACACGAATTCAGCTCGTGCAAGATTACGATTTACAGCAATACGCTAGCAAATATATGTTAACAAATATCAGTGCCATGAAGGTGAGTGATTAGTGGTCATAATAAGCTGAGGAACGTATACACTTCCTTCTTTATTGGTGGCAAATTTTGATGAGAAAAATCGGTTAAAAATGCGGGAATCGGGTGCCGCACTCTTGTGTTATTATCTACTCTTGATGTCATGTTAGTCACCTAATTTTACAACAGAATTTACAAATAAAGAACTACAATAGATATCTACATTATTCCTCACCCACTCCATTAGGCTCAGAAATACTTCATCTACATTAGGACCAGATACAGTAGCATGTTATTAAAAAGTAATGTTAAACTTGGTGTAGATGTAGAGATGTAGCAAACAGCTATCGATATAGATTTAGAGTAATGGTTGTTTACTAAATCAGTGATGCCATTAAAGCCTTGGCAAATGTTTTGTCAACTTTTTTTTATATTAGTACCACAACTCTGGTTACCTTTTGGCATACTCTATCCCAAATCACATTATCAATATAAACAAAATATGAACAACTGTCAATTTATTAGTGACACGTTGACAATGATTTTTTTTATTTAGACTTTGCTGCTTCCTCTTCCTTGGCGTATGTCTTCAGCAACTCCTCCCTCTTTTGCACCTGGCGCTGTTCACGGCGTTTCCTTGCCTCCTTCACCTTATGACGCCTAGCCTCTGCCTGGTCACTGCAGTAACAATACAACCCATGCATTAGCTGTGTTACAATACAACACTTGCATTCACTCTATAGGCAAATACTTATGAACTTTGCCATTAATCAAAAATGGGACAGTTTATCACTAACGATTATATCTCCAGGGCTCGTATTTCCCTATTGCTAACTCGCAAAATCCGTGTCGATATTGAGAGAAATTGCGAGTAGAAAATATAAGCACTCGCTATTTTCTGCGAGTGGAAATTTATAGCATATACCGCATACATTATACCAAGAGCGTATAAAGAAGGAGAGCGTACAACGGTGAAATGCTGAAACCATGTTGCAGTATTAGTCGAATTACTAAACTCCCCGTTTTATTTTGACGATTCTTTGCAGTATTATTGATCAGCTGTCCTACCTTGTTCATATACAACAAACCGCATGTCCCTACGCTGAGATAATGAGCGGTGAAAATCTGGTATTTTCGCCGAACACCGACTCGACATTAGTCAGTACTGTGACCGACTCGCGTTCTGGCGATAGCTTTGGGAAACCTCGCGTGTTTCCGTCATTCATTGGCAATGAAATTTATTTTCCTTCTACTATCTTTTCTCGCATTTCCAGTCATTGACGCAGCCATTACTCCACAAAAACGTCTTGTTATTTATTGCCATGGTGATGACCCGCCCCTTACACTGGATGTAGTAACGCTGTAGTAATAACGTATCGAGTCAGCGCTACACAGCGGCGACCAGAAGCAACATACACTGCACAGAACGCGAGTCGGTCGCAGTACTGACTAATGTCGAGTCGGTGTTCGGCGAAAATACCAGATTTTCACCGCTCATTATCTCAGCGTAGGGACATGCGGTTTGTTTTATATGAACAAGGTAGGACAGCTGATCAATAATACTGCAAAGAATCGTCAAAATAAAACGGGGAACGTTTATTAATTCGACTAATACTGCAACATGGTTTCAGCATTTCACCGTTGTACGCTCTCCTTCTTTATACGCTCTTGATTATACATATACATATACCGCTAATTCCAACGATTAGTAGTAATAGTATGCAAAAAGTGTATGTAATATTTAAAAAGTAGTTTGTTGTACAAAAAAAATTGCACGTTAGAATTCATTTTAGCACGTAGATTTTTAGGAACTCGCTATTTTTCGCAAGTGGCTAAAATTGTGAAATTCGTCCCCTGATCTCTACGCCTGGCTAGATCTGTTACGTTTGCGCAATATCCATAGGTCTCACTTACCTGAGCAGCTTGCTTCTTGCCTTCTCAGCCTTTCTCTTGTGGATGTATTCCATCAAGACTCTCTTGTTCTTGAATTCATTACCCTTCACCTTTCTGTAAAGCTGGTGGTACCTAATGTCAAACAGAAACAAGGAATATATGATGCAAGTCATAAGCACATAAAGAACACATATATAATCCTTTCTCTGAAAAAGCCAACAGAGAAGTACGTCTGTAATGTATGATCTTAACAAAATGTAGTTCAATATGCCCTTCGTACTCAGATATATTCACCAAAACATGCACAATTGGAATTTTGATAACTCATTTCGATTTCCGCCGTCATTTCTTGTGAATCTCGGCCTAATAGCCAATTTTAAAATAGAAACGGAATAAACTACACAGAATTAGATACCCTTTTGTTTGAATTAGGTGCACTAGTGCACTTGTTTTGAAGGAGCCATTTGCAAATTGATTCTCGCTATAATCAAATATGCCATGGTGTTACGGCATGTTTAATTCCAATTTTCTATGCAATAACAGCATTAAATTCTTAGTGTTTTTCAAGTTGGTGTAATCGGTAATACATCCGCCATTAGGTAAGACTATATTTTGCTATATTTTTTTCAGATTGTGTATTTTTGAGAAATGATTTCGAAATAAATTCTTTAATGAGAACTTCTACAGTTAAAATAATTATTCCTCTAATCTGTAGTACAATATATGGATGGATATAATGACGTATGAAGCTTCTAAGACATGTTAACCTTAGTGTTGACGCTCTCAGTTATGAAAGAAATACTAGTAAATAGCAGAACATATAGCATACACTGAACATTAAATAAAGTGTAAATACTTGGCTTCTCACACTTACATTAAAGGAAATCTTCAATATATTTGGACGTTTATGAAAACTTACAGATGGGAATCAATCTTCTTAGGCTTTGCTTCTCTGTATTTCTTTAGCAGTCTCCTTAGGACACGAATGCGCCTCATCCACAGAACCTTCACAGGCATACGGGCATTAGCGGTACCCTTCCGTTTACCATGGCCTGTGTGTCGACCCTTTCTCCGTGCAATAGCATTCTTACGGACTCTGGCTCTGGAGTGCACTGCTACTGGCTTGCGAATGATCAAGCCATCCTTGATGAGCTTGCGGATGTTTTGCCCTACAAATTACCATTAAATGTGTAGATACTATTAGTATAATACACTTTAAAATCAATTATTCAAAATAACCACGAATGTAAGAGCAAATCACAGAAATCGTATAACAACATTCATCATAATGAGTAAACAGATGTAAAATAAGGGAAATCTCACTAACGTCAGGTTAACAAGAGCCGCAGAGCGTCTGGGCTCATCTGAGGTCTGTTGCTACGATTA